ATTATTGCGTTTAAACGCAACAATTTTTTTGCATTTCAACCGCAATACTATTTGCGTTTAAACGCAATAATCTTTGTATTAAAAAGCAACCATTTCTATTGATCTTTGAAGAGTGCAATGGACCCAAGCATACTGATACTTTTTAGCTCACCTGAGCAGAAGGCTCAATTGAACTTTTATGATCAAAATTTGTCCGTCGTCTGTCGTTGTTGTCTTTGTCGTTGGCGTTGTCGTCGTCGTAATCTTTTCACATTTTCATCTTCTTCTCAAGAACCACTGGGCCAATTTCAACCAAAGTTGCCACAAAGTATCCTTGGGTGAAGGGGATTCAAGTTTGATAAAAAAAAAGGGCCAAGCCCTCTTCCAACGGGAGATAATAATGAATAAATGAAAAATTAATGGCATCATTTAAAAATCTTCTTCTCCAGAACCACAGTGCCAGGAAAGATGAAACTCATGTGAAAGCATCCTCGGGTAGTGTAGATTCAAGTTTGTTCAAATCATGACCCCCGGGGGTAGGGTGGGGCCACTATGGTCGATCAAATGTTATAGAAATACATGTATATAGGAAAATTCTTTAAAAAATCTTCTTCTCAAGAACCACTCTGCCAGGAAAGATGAAACTTATATGAAAGGATCCTCAGGTAGTGTAGATTCAAGTTTGTTCAAATCATGACCCCCGGGGATAGGACGGGGCCACAATGGCCGCTCAAAGTTTAGCATAGAAATATATAGGAAAATTCTTTAAAAATCTTATCAAGAACCTCTCTGCCAGGAAAAATGAAACTTATAGGGAAGCATCCTCAGGCAGTGTAGATTCAAGTTTGTTCAAATCAGGACCCTTGGGGATAGGGTGGGCCACAATGGCCGATCAAAGTTTAACATAGAAATACATGTATATATGAAAATTCGATAAAAATCTTCTCTCTCAAGAACCACTCTGCCAGGAAAGATGAAACTTATATAAAAGCATCCTCAATTAGTGTAGATTCAAGTTTGTTCAAATCATGACCCCCGGGGGTAGGGCGGGGCCACAATGACTGATCAGGATAAGGATTGGTTGGGACCACTTTTGGGTTTTAACTTTTCAATGATATGATTTCTGCTTTTTTCGAAGTTACAGTGCTCAGGTGAGCGATGTGGCCCATGGGTCTCTTGTTTCTTCTTTCTGTCTTGTACAGTAAATAATTGAGAGGATTGTGTTAGTATTGTTTAGCTTTATAGAATCAGATTTTTCTGAACAAGCATTATTTTCTGAACGGTTAAATCATTGGTGTGGATTTACAGAGGAGAAAGAAGTGTTGGTCTGTAGAAACAAAGACAACCTAAGAACGAAACATAGCTTTAGCATGTATAGATATCTTTATTCCCTTACAAACACAAAGTACAATTCCTATCTTGTTGTTTTTTTTCTACTTTTAAACTTTGAAAATATGCAAACAATTTTAAATGATTTTTGAAATAAAAGACTGAAAAAGAAAAATGATCGAAAAGCCATCACCCCATCCACGTTGCGGTCACAAAGTTTAAACCATGTATAAAGGGGTTAAGGAAACAATCGATGAAATGTTTAGACTTATATATATGTACATGTACATATTATGTATATTTTGTGTTATCACAACCTTTCCTTTGATCACATACAGTAAACACGAGAACGAAGAAGATAGAATATATGAAATCAAAATGAAAGTCAAATGAAAACAGATTGATCGATGTGTACTACCAAATTGATATGTCTATTAATACCACTGAAACATTCTTAATTAGCTGTGATGCGTCATGCAGCAATGGATTAAAGGCTTCGTTAAAAGTGTAGGGTTCTAATAGGTTTAAGAAACTGTGGTCGTTAGGATGCCATTGTTTAACTTCAATATTCAAAAAACTGCAACATTTTACAAAAAACAGAACCAAACGGTTCTTCTTTTAAAAAATCGGACCATAGTAATTATTATTAATCTTTGGCTAATTGATCTCTGATTACAATATTATTGCAATTAAACGCAAAAAATTATTACGTTTAATCACAAAAGTATTTCATTTAATCGCAATATTATTGCGTTTAAACGCAAAAAGTATTGCGTTTAATCGCAAAATTATTGCGTTTAAACGCAATGAAAAATATCAATCGCAATCTTTTGCATTAAAACGCAATAAGTATTGCTATTAAACGCAATAATTATTGCGATTAAACGCAATAATTATTGCAATTAAACGCAATAAAATATATTTCTTTCTCTGAACTGGCCTCAACGGGCTTCAGTACCACGGATTCGTTTTGCATGTAACCATTTAAAAATAATTATAATTTTTTCATTACATTTCATTCAGATGTATTGTGAATCCGTGGATGCACGTCTCGTGGCAATAGACAACGAAGAAGAAAACAATTGGATTTTTGATCGAATGAAATACCATAAAGATGAAGGTGATTATTTTTAATATGTAATTGATTTACATAGTAACTGTTACGTATTTCTCAGCAAACACGTCATTTAGCTTACAGTTTACATATATGTATTATCTTTTCTAGCTAAATAATTTGATAATATATTTTATTTGCTGAAACGTTGAACAGGTGTTAAAATGCACTCTTTAATGAAGGAATTAATATTTACCGTTGTTTGATTACCAATTATTATTTTTAACAAGAAATGAAGAAATAATTAGTGGATATATATACACATATATGAAGAAAACTTCACAAAAAAGACAGGCCGATCTTTAATTGTGTAGAGTATGCACACTTCAAATTATGTATGAAATTCATATACAGTGTAAAAATACGTACATACATGAATAACTGTTTAACTCCTTAGTTAACGATTGGTGGACTGAAGGGTCAGATGAAGGGTCAGAGGGCACATGGTACTGGCACCATTCTAACAGTAGAATGATTTACACGGACTGGAATTTATATCTCGGTGAACCAAACGGAAAGCAGAGAGCAAACTGTTTATTGCTGAGATTAGAACTCAAGTGGATCGATTGTCCTTGTTCGTACGAGTCAAAGTTTATCTGTGAAAAATGAACAATTATGAAATGTAATTTTACAGAAGTAACAAGAAAATGAAATGTTGAGTGTTAAAAGACCATCTTTATTTGATACGATGACAAATTGACGATTTAGTAGTTTTATTTATAACTTTTGTGTCAATTTTTAATAAAGTGACACTCGGTCATTGGATTGAACTTAGTATGTTGTACAGAACTTGTTTCCCATCCTTTTGATTTTATCAATATAAAATATATTCAAATCAAGTATTATGCTGTGTAAGCTACCGTATAAATGAAATTTTAGCGAGAAGCAAATTTAGCGATTTGACCTTAAAAATTGGTATTTTAATTTTAGCGAACTTGAAATGTTCACTTTAGGAGGTATATCAACTTCCAAGCAATTTTAGCGATCTTAGCACCCTGACTAATAATACTAAAATTAAATTCTCGCTGAAAACTCTACCTATGCGGTATTTGAAAATGTTGCAGTCTTGATGGAATCTGGCAAATTATTATTTTGTTAATAACTTGAATAATTATAGAAGAAGGGGCATCCTCTCGAAAAGTGCATACCTATAAGGTGGCATTCAACATCAATCACGATAAAAATTACGTCACTTTCATTTTGCAAAGGACGGTGTTCAAATAAACACACTCACTCCCGATTGCGTTACTATATGACTGTATATCCCCTCCAATTTCATTGCAAGGGGATAGTAAAATGCACTTTTTAAGTCTTCACTGATGCAATAGAGAATAAACAACCCACATAGATGGACAGATTCAAGTTTCTTTTTCTTATAATGTAATGGCAATCGCGAATTCATGCATAATCAAAGAAAGATTCAACCATAAGCATTTAAACATAATTTCAACATTCATTAAGTAAAACCACAGCAATGTTCCATTATATTTATTTCTACTTATAATAATTAAAATTGTCGTGGTCAATCCTGTGACCTATGTAAACATGGTGACGTTTCTATATGAGTAAAAAGTATCGACGGGACGTAAACATCATGCAATTGATCAATTTACATACGAGTCAGAAATCTATAATTTTATTTCATTTATGTGGTTAGTGCAATAGCTATATAACTGATTTAATAAAACATTGTCTTAAATTGACTTTTCTCAATATGATTTATTATCTTCATCATAAATATCTACTCTGCTCTAATTTTTGCAAAATATAAAATAAAACTAATAGTCGTAAAAGGTCATTTATATATTTCAATACCATTAAAAATTTGAAATTAACCAAAACGTACAAAATTTACACAGCCCTGTATTTGAGTATATACAGTGTGCCCCTTATAACGATATAAATAAAATATACATAATGAACAAATACAGCTATTACTAAAACAACTTGCAAAAAATAGACAAAACAAAACAAAAATCCATGTCATTATGATTTTAAATGTACACCAACATAATATCCTGGGATTCATGGATAGTGTTTTTGAAATGGAGTATAGGAATGACCTTAAGCTTTGTGGGGAGAAACCAAGCATTGAGAAGGCAGAATAATAAAATCTAAGAAGTGCACGCGTTGTGGGTAGGTACAATCAAAAAGAAAGAAAAAACAATTTATTTCAAATGAAAGTCATGTTGCCGAAGGAATCTAAGTTTTAAGAGAACGGATCAATTTAAGCATTATGATAGAGATCAGGGTCATTTCATGCATCAGTAGATTTGGTGGCGGGGTGATGATGTGTGAGTTGAAGGCCAGGCCCAGTACAGAATCTAGCTATAGAGTAGGCGTGTCCGTCTTATTCCAAATTTATTGACAGTACATTCATTTTACGTTTCCATCTACATCCTTAATAAGGATGAAGTATTTTTCCATATCTATGATGTCTAATCTTCAGTCAAATGTAATCTAAGCTGTTGAATGTAATATTGATAACAGTATTTTGTTTGATTGAACTAAGGTGTCTAGCTTTCAGGTGATAACGAATTGATAAACATTTTTTTCGTTTGTTCGTTAATAGTTTGAGAGGATATGGGGCGTCATTCAATACTGTCTGTAAGCATACCCTTTCAAATTATTTTAAAAATCAGTAAAATAAATACTCGTTCATATACAGTATTGATTTAAGATAGAATTTGCCAATTTGTGTCTTGCAATTCAAAGTAATATGTTAATTTTTTTGTTTCTTACCATTCTTCTACCAATTTATTTGTATTACCGATACGGTGTCATGAAAAAAAAACAAAAAACATTTTAAATTGTATTTCTTAATAGATGATTGTCTTTTCATTAGACAGAACCTTGTTTAATAATGTTATAAAAATTTAAAGGTAAAGCTCCTTTAATAACTTACAATGCGATTTAGGAAGTAACTGGTTTAAGGTTCATAAACCCTCTGCTCACTCATATAAAATAATGCTTGAACCTTAACGATTTTCCAAAAGAAATATATTTTTTAAGTAAAATACCGACCAGTATAGCATAGTTTGCGGGGCAAAATTGGCCAAAAAAGACACTTCATCTTGACAAATCTATAAAGGAATAATAGACATTTATGTAATTAAGAGTTATCTCTCTTTTCAGAGTATCAATGACCCTTAAGTGGTTAATAGAAGGTTTGCTTATAAGTTATGTAAAACCAAGCGGATAGAAATTCCATACTTTCATAAACAAATAATAAATGTTTGATTATTTGGATAGGTAAAGTTGTCATTATACATCGCAAAAATGTTTACCCAGTGCTTTTTTTCCTTTTACAGATTATTTGTTACTGCATCATTATAGGTATGACAATAAAAAATCACGGTGATATTACAGATGTATGAAATTAACAGAAATTTACTTAAAATGTTTCAATGAATTATTACACTGTATTTAAATTAATTGTTTTCGTTTTCAAATAGGTGGATTGTCATTTACCTTTACAAAAGGTACGTGAATCAGAAATAAACTTATAATAAGATTCTATCTTGAAAGACAATATGAATATGCATCTTTTTTATAGTGGACAATGTTACCATACCGAAGCATTCTTTTTCTATTGTTTTAAATAAGTATCATTTCTATTATGAAATAAATGCATGATTAGACTGAATGAATGAAACTATTGAACAGTGATCATCCTTATAAATTCTACACAGGGAAAAGTAACTTACATGATATTTATGTGATTGTCAATTTATTTGAAAATTAAATGAAAATCATTTAAAATATCATAAAAACTTTTACAGGATCACCCTGTGGATTGCGTTTCACGTCTTATAATGGACAAATTACAAGTCCAAACTACCCTTCAAGTTATTCTAGTAATCTAGATTGTAAATGGACAATTGTTCGCCATACGGATCAAGAAATTTTTCTGAGCATACGCGATTTTACCACTGAGTCATGCTGCGATAGACTGATAATTACCGATAGAAATACTGGACATCAAATAGCAAAGTAAGTAGATTACATTCAGTGTAATAAAATATAAATTTACTAGGTTTTTTTCAACTGAAGTTTTAAATATTTTCTGATCTAAATATGACTGTTCGTCTTTCTATCTGTAGAATTTTTGCATTGCAAATGCTTCTGAATCATTGGTTACACAAAGAAATTCTACTGTTTTCATTTTTAAGTATGCACAAACACGTCAGGGTAAAAAATTTCAAACATCCACGTGCAAGTTTCAAGTATATTAAAAGTTTAGGACGTAGAAGGTTTTTACACCTTTTCACACTAAGATGATGTGAATATAGGGAATTCCATAAACATTCTTAGAATCTTTTCTTATTTATCAAAATTTAATCGTCAAATTATATCAAATATCTTATATATATTTTTTTCAATTCTAGATTGAGAGGCAACTGCTCTGTTGTTGGAGATGGATGGTTCTCCACCTCTTCTAACAATATCGAGCTTCATTTTATAACAGATGGTTCTGTGAACAATCAAGGATTTCATATAACATTTAAGTCACAGAGCAGATATTCAGGTAAATGTAAATAAATAAATCTTTTTTATTGTTTGAACTAATCATCCTTCATATGCATACAAATATAAGAGAGCTGTACCAGCGACCACTTTTTAGACAAATTTTTCGGTCAAATTAAATTTTAGTTTAATATAAAGTTTTTCTGCAAATTCGAGTTTAGGATTAAAGAGAAACTTCTTAGGATGTACTAAGTAGGTTAACCTTTATTAAAGATATAAATTTTCTCTTACATTCTATGAGTATTTCTTAAGTTTAGTGGAAATACTTACACGTAATTTATAATCATATAAACTGCGAAAGCATTTAATTAAACAAAGGTGTGTCCCCAGTTTTAGTTTTATTAGAAATTATTTTAAGCATACATGTATATACAGTGTATTTTCCACCTTAGATTGGGGAAAAAAAATAAGAATGATATGATTCGTAGCTCTGGATTACTCACGTGCTTCTCTATTTCAATCTTAAACAAAATTATTGGACGAATTTATTTTAAAATTACTACATACCACACAAAATATCCTAGTATTCTTTTGCAAAAGTTAATTTTTTAAGTATTTTCCACCTTTAAATACGACAGATGTAATATTTAATATAATTATTTAAAGAAAATAAATAACAGAATTCTTTCAAGAACATATTAAATGAAAATATGAACAAACCGAAAACTATAATAAATTCAATTTTGTTTTTCAGTGACTGTGCCCGATATTCCTACAACTAGTTTTGTTTGTGGTAAGAATTATATTACATGTATATTTATCTACATTTTGTACAATCTCTTGGGTAAAATTTAGATTTGTATTTTTACAACAGCTTTTTGGAAACAAAATCTTTGCCATGTACATGTATAAACTAATGAAAAACCCCTGAACCTAACATTTGCATGCTATATTTTTAAGATTAAAAGCATGGTTATTTTTTGCCATATGCAAACTACGTATATTGGAGTTTTATGATAAGACTTACTTTTACAAAAGACGACTGACTTCTACAATTTAAACAGAGACCAACTCCCAATACTTAAAATGTAAAAGTCAGCTGTCGAATGTAAAAGTAAGTCTCTTCATAAAGGAGTTTTATGAAGAGACTTACTTTTACATTTGACGGCTTACTTTTACATTTTAGTAATTGGAGTTGGTCTATGTTTAAATTGTAAAAGTCAGTCGTCAATTGTAAAAGTAAGTCTCTTCATAAAACTCCTATATAACTCCATTACCCGCAGTACCCCAGTAATGAAACTTAAAATCCTTAAACTGTCTTCCTTGGAATGTACATTATAACGATTGTTAATGATACTTTTCTACCAAAGCCTATTAGGATCACTCTAAAGAGAAAAAAAATTTTAAAGGCGTTATAATGCCTTTTGAAAAGGCGTAATAACGCGAAAAAAGGCGTTATTACGCCTTTCCATTCAAAAAGGCGTTATTACGCCTTTCCCAAAGGCGTTATAAGGCCTTTCCGAAAGACGTTATTACGCCTTTCCAACAGGCATTATTACGTCCTTCCAAAGGGCGTTATTACACATTTTTAAAAGGCGTTATAACGCCTTTCTAAAAGGCGTTACTATGCCTTTCCAAAAAGCGTTTTAACGCAATTTAAAAGGCGTTATTATGCCTTTCCAAAAGGGTTATTACGCTTTTTTAATAACTATTATTTTGCATCTAACAGGCCTGTGTTTCTAAAGCCTCCCCCCAACCACCCCTACCACCCCCACTCTACTGGCCAAACTCCTGGGTGACTTCTCGGTAAAACTTTGTTTAAATGCAATAATTTGCCACAGTTTTACACACTGCAACAAAATGTTCAGGAACAAAGCAACCAACAGTTAATTATAATATTTAAACTGTAGCAAAACTTTGTGTGTATGTGTGGAGGAGGGGGGTTACCCCATTTGCACTCGTACTACTGGCCTACTTGAAAAGAAAAATGGAAAGGCGTTATTTTTATGTTAATAAATATATGAAAGATTTAATTAAAACAATCTTTATTTAAGCAATTCTCTATATTCCTGCACATCTCACTGACAACTGTTTGCATTCGTATTAAGAGAAGGCAACACTAGCTCTACTTGTGAAGATACGATATACTAGTAGGCAGATGTATCTTGGACCATTGCTTGCCATGTATTAAAATTCATGTCATTTGAAGATATTTTTCTCTCTTCTTGGAAAAAAGCAGGCAGACTATTTGCTATCTGTTTAATTTATTTTTTGAGAAATTAGTCCTATATCAAATTGTGAAATTCAGGTCCCAAAGGTTAAGATTTCTGCAACCCCCCCCCCCCCCACTCACTTGGGCTAAATATGTTTAGTCATATATTTGAAAATAAAAAACGCAATAACGCCTTTTGGAAAGGCGTAATAACGCCTTATATAAAGGCGTAATAACACCTTTTGGAAAGGCGTAATAACGCCTTTTTAGAAAGGCTTAATAACGCCTCTTAAAAAGGCGTAATAATGCCTTTTAGAAAGGCGTAATAACGCCTTTTATAAAGGCGTAATAACGCTTTTTTAGAAAAGCGTAATAACGCCATTTAAAAAGGCATAATAACGCCTTTTGGAAAGGCGTGATAACGCCTTTTAAAAAGGCATAATAACGCCTTTTGGAAAGGCGTAATAACGCCTTTTAGAATGGAAAGGCGTAATAACGCCTTTTAGAAAGGCGTTATTACGCCTTTTGAAAAGGCGTTATAACGCCTTTTAATTTTTTTTTCTCTCTAGATTGATCCTAATAGGCTTTCGTACTTTTCCAATGTCATACCATTAGTTAAATATGTAAATCTCTTGACCAAGAAAAGTAAATTAGCAGATTTCTGCAACCCCCCCCCCCCACTCACTTGGGCTAAATATGTTTAGTCATATATTTGAAAATAAAAAACGCAATAACGCCTTTTGGAAAGGCGTAATAACGCCTTATATAAAGGCGTAATAACACCTTTTGGAAAGGCGTAATAACGCCTTTTTAGAAAGGCTTAATAACGCCTCTTAAAAAGGCGTAATAATGCCTTTTAGAAAGGCGTAATAACGCCTTTTATAAAGGCGTAATAACGCTTTTTTAGAAAAGCGTAATAACGCCTTTTAAAAAGGCATAATAATGCCTTTTGGAAAGGCGTGATAACGCCTTTTGGAAAGGCGTGATAACGCCTTTTGGAAAGGCGTAATAACGCCTTTTAGAATGGAAAGGCGTAATAACGCCTTTTAGAAAGGCGTTATTACGCCTTTTCAAAAAGCGTTATAACGCCTTTTAATTTTTTTTTCTCTCTAGATTGATCCTAATAGGCTTTCGTACTTTTCCAATGTCATTCCATTAGTTAAATATGTAAATCTCTTGACCAAGAAAAGTAAATTAGCAGAAAAAATGGGGGAGATATCTTTTTGGCAAACATGAACTTAATAATAATGTTCAATAATTAGAGGGGGAATGCTAAATATAAACAAATTGAAAAGTTCTGGGAATTGAAATCCTGAGACCACACCTTTCCATATTTTTTCATCTGATCTTCATTTGTTTGTTTGTATCTTGTTTAACGTTCCCTCTCGAAAAATTTTCATGCATAATTATTTGCCGCTACTTGCCGGTGGGGAGCTGCAAATTTGTACTATACTCAGCACTCAGGGACATTGAACAGGGATGGATTTTTTTCGTGCCAGAACCTTTTGCGACACGGGACCTCTGTTTATACGGTCCCATTCGAAGGACCGGTCTCCACGTCCCACAGTGCGATTCGAACCCTCGACTTAAGGATCAACTCCTTTTTTTGCGACTCTGTAGCAGACGCTCTAACAACCGTGCCATATTAACACACACGAAAAGAGAACGCAAAGCTTGTAAATGCTCAGCGACACGGTAAAATTCGCATGATAATCGTGAAAATTTTTTAATTTGTTACCTTAAAAATTTCACGAAATAATAAATACAAATATTAAGTATGAAAGTCCTAGCAGCAACTGTTCAAAAGAAATGACCTAGGATAAAGTTTGAAAATAATTTGCAAAAGTGAGCTTAAGTCAAAGGTCAAGGTCAAGGTCAAATATGTTGGTACTCAAAAGAAGGCTTTGTCATAAGAAATTCATGGGTGAAATATGCAAGCAATCAAAGTTATGGACAAACGTTATGACGTTATCAATCATTTCAAGAAATCTTTACAAATCTTAGTTGGTTGACCTCTCTCATATCAACAACAAAGATGTCAAATTAAACTTTGCCCTGTACTTTTGAACATAATGTTTGTTTCGATGAAAGAATTTGTCCTAAAATGCTTGGAAAATGCTCCTAGAGTCGTGCGGTAAACATGGATTGGTAAAATTACTTCAAATAATTGTACAACCTGTAAACATTTTAAGTAAAGCTTTAATTTTTACTTAGCCTTGGGTCCATAATTTTAACAAAGTCAAATATATTTTTGCCTCGATCTTTGCATATAAATATGAAAAATCATAGCCATTGCATTTCCCATGTATTCTTACATAAAAATCTATCTCTTATTTCAGGGATGATTTTCATGAATATAATACTAGTATAGTTTGATTTATGAAAAAATATACTTTAATTTGTAAATCGGAATGCTGCATTATATTTTCGCATAATAGTTTGCAAAAATCACATTCATAATGTAAATAATATATAAGATATCTTATAGAAATATGTATTCTCTCTGTTTAAAGATAATTTAATCATGTTCCAGAAAATTAACCTTATTGACTTGCTGCTATAAAGTTTGTTTTTCACATTTTTCTTGAACAATTTACAGATGGAAAGACAATTCCTGAAGTAAATGCCACGACAACATATGGTTTGTATAATTAGCTTTAGTCTGATAATTAATCTTTCTCCAAAAAAAGTAATAAAAACAATAAAATACGTGTAATAACGAATTTTGATTTAAACTCTCTCTTGATACCACTAGTATACTATATAAAAATATTTGTAATATAATTTGGATTTTACCTGTATTTTTCATTTTAACTCTTTTAATGCGTCAAAAATCTTTTATGTGCATTTTCAACGTAATACGTTATCATTCGAAATATTTTACATATGTATATTTAGCAAGATGTAATTTAAACTTTTAAAACGCTCACTTATACGCTATTAAAAATAAACGCTATTAATTTTTAGCGTTATTCATTTATAGCAATCTCAGCACCCTCGCTGACAATGCCAAAATAAAACCCTAACTAAGAATTATACTTATACGGAACATATCAACATTATAAACATGTACTACAACATTTCTATTTACCGTGATAAAATTAAAATAAAATATGCTGCAGATTCTAAATGAAGTACGCTATTTATGTAAACTCTTCGATCTGCTACAATTTTAGCACCTACTCTCCTTAATCTAATTTTAATTTTCTTATAAAGCCCCATACAAACAACACAAAATAATCATGAAATAACGATAAAGTACAATTACGTATGGAATAGAAAGTGTTATGTGTTTGATGCTGCTGATGTATGTTTTGGCCTTTTGTCTGTGCAAATTCCCCATATCCTCATCTTACTTTTACAGGATGTCAATTTCCTTTCTATCTTTAATAACATGTATATTGATATGAAATTCAAACAAAGGCTGAATTTTTAATTTTTATAAGACTTTATTATCCTTTTTAAAAATCATGCTAGTGTGTTATTTCTTTTAAGACATGAAAATAGAAATGGTAAATTATAAAAAAGAAAATATGTGAAATGTAACTATATAACCCCTCAGCCCAGTAATACTTACCAAAACACAGATTAGACCTGAATTACCAATTTAGATGGTAAAAATGCACCTTTCTAAAAATTGTTCATTAATTTAATTGATTTATGATTTTTTTTTTCTGAATAGTCATACTTTTTTCACTCTAAATATAAAATTGAGAATATTGATACAAACCACATTGTCAATTGTTTGAGTTTCAAAGGATTAACTTGCTGTCTTCGTAACTTTACACAATGTTTAATTTTAATGACTTAGAAAAATGATGAAAATATTCATTTTAAACAATAAACAACAATAGACATGAAAGCAAATACAAAGATCTAAATATCTAGAATGCTATTGACGGAAAAAGTGCCCTTTATCAATAGTCACTCGTAGACATAATTATATAATGCACTAATATTTATCACAAGCTGTCATAGTTAAGAAATTTGACATGCTTTCAGCGCATGTTTACGTAACTATCTATATAACTGGAAGATAGAGTACCGGTATATCAAATGCAGATAAACCAAGGTACATGAATGAAACACAGTCGGTGCTTTTAATAGCAAATTACCAGCTACACTGTTAAACACTCAGATGCGTAGCTCTATACTGTATGATAAACGTTTGCCCTTGCAAAGTGAAAAAATGAATGTGAATGAAGCAGCGAATACTATAAAACGGAGGTTGCTTTTGAGCATCATCCAATTTTGTTTGATATGAAATTCAATAATAACGGTGGTAACAATACATGTACTTTCAAACTCCTGAATATACATTTGATTTTTGTATCTATAACTAAACATAACTCACGTACATGCATGTACAAAATCAAAAAGGTGCACTTTGCTACAAAGACATATTTCTGTGTATATTGCTATTTATTTACATTCTTGTAATAATGAAAAAAACATAATATGATAAAAATAATCAAAAACATATTATATTAGGAATTACAGGGGATGTTACAACTCACGAGACGACCTATGGGCCAAGATTTACAATTGGTTTGTATATATTTATTCCTACACATATAGGGAACAACAAAAAATCCAGAAGTCAAGATCTAAACAAAAGTCTTTTAAATAATATAACTTTATAGTTCTAACATGTTGAATGGGACGCTCTTTAATTTGCAACCAGTTACATGTATTATTATTGTTTTCCAATCTCTAGGTTATTCACATAATGTGAGATTTGAATACGGATCCTATGGTCGAGTATCATTATATGGACAGGAGATATGCTATACAGGTGTGACCTACCAAACTGGAGTAGCTCTTTGTCGATCAAAAGGATATTCCTTCAGCTCTTTCAATAGGTACCACTTAATCCTTTTTATGTGTTCAATCTTTATTAGAACACATAGGAAGAATGACTAATTTATAATTACGAACGAAGAAGTGAACGAACAGGTATCAAGCTAAAAAAGAATTGAAAAACGAAATATCAAATATCTTAATGAAATCGCAGATTTAAATTGACTGATAAAAAATAAGACTGTAAATTTATTCATAATTCTATTTTTTTCCTTATTGTTTCAAGCGGCATATGTATTAGAAATCCCTATATTGTTTGCTGTAAACTATGCATAATTACTAGTATTTTACATTTTACTTTTCAGTGTCTCCCCAAGAAACTACTATTATAATGCCTATGAAATCCAGTGTTATTCTTCGTACATCAATGACTGTTACTTTCGAGAGCGTACTCCCTGTTCGAGTGTATTGTATTTAAACTGCTACAGTAAGACATTTTAAATCTCAGTTTGTAATTTATGTTATTGTTAATGATAATACGATATTAAGAAGGAAATTCTTTGAAATGTTCTCAAACATTACTTTTATCGCCATTTGTATTTTTATTGATTACTTCAAATTGCGAAATCTGACAAATAACTTAACATGTTTTTTCCACATTTCAATACAAAAAAATTGGTACAAAGATGTTGCTCTCTCTCTCTCTCTCTCTCTCTCTCTCTCTGGACATACTTTACCATTGTAGACCTTAATATGCCAGTCTGGAGATATGATTTTCAGGTTCTTCAACTACAGAAAGTTTTACAAGGACATGGCGTGAAACTTCAGCAGATTATACTATTGGTACACATCTCTACTTCTCTCTCTCTCTCCAGTTCAATATTTTTCTTTATCAATTTAACACTAATTTTCTCATTTTTAAATTGAATTTAAATTTGTATGTACGCTAGATATATGCTTTGCTTTGTATTTATATTTATCTTGTTTTATATAAATCCTCGCAAAACTACCGACCAAGTTTATTTTCTTCAAAAACTGATTCGGATGAGGGCAAGCACCCACTGTTTAAAGATGTCTTTGTTGAGACTTTTTATTAATGTATAATGTAAAACAACATAGGATGATGATATTAATTTTGAAAACCATAAATATCTTTTAAAGTTTCAGTAAAAATAAAAAAGCATCATATATTTTTTTTAAAAACAAACTTATGATCGATTTCAATGAAATACGAAGTTTAGGAGTCTTCGGAATAAATCATCTTGCATTATGCTTACTAGTATCTTTATCTTCTTAACTGATATAGGTACTTGATACAATGCGGAATTTAGTAAGAAAAATCTATTTAAAAGCATTTTAAAGAGATATACAAAGATCGAGAGTATAGAGATTAAGGTGTTTGTGAAATGCATTTTAAAGAATCTGTGGATGTACGAATCGAATATGGATCCTATGGTCGTATTTATGTCGAGGGACAGGAAGTTTGTAGCTCAACCTACAATTATCGTTACGGGGAGGTGTTATGTCGTGCTAAAGGATATCCTTTTTCTTCTTCCTTCTCAAGGTGACTGTGAAAAAATATGCATTTAAGTACTTATATTTTTGCGTTCATTTTTTAGAAAATATTCCAGATTTTTTTATGTTGTTTCAAATATGCTTACATCTGTAATATTATAAATGGTTAATTTATTATCAACCATTATTATTATTTTCCATACATTTTTAACGTGAGGATACGTACATGTATAATATCACTTGGACGTCTTTGTTTCCGTTAATTTTCATTCCAAAAGTTTTCGAAGGACGTTGCTTGAAAAAATTCCACATTCTATTAAAGTGTTGTATTTTTCAAATAACAGTTATAATCTTTACAGTGTAACACCACGTGATCACTATAACACCGTTAACATTAGGTGTTATTCTGATTACCTCTCCAGCTGCAGCAAGGAATTCCGATATAATTACTGCTCAAGTGTTGTGGTCCTTTATTGTTACGGTATGTGTTTAAAACAGTGTGAATGACATAATATAAAAGGTGCATTATTATTTAAAATAGTTATTATTTTTTTTTCAATAAATATTTAAATGTAATTTTATTTTATATTCCTATGCTACAATTATTATTTCCCACTATGAAGAAAAAGCATACAACAAAAAATCAAGAAAAGAAAATACTTTGCTAAAATAATGACTTAAGAAATAATATGAATATACATAAACTTACAAAGTACACATTTCTAATTATATTGAAAGGACTAATTACAAGGGCATGGATATGTTTGTCTAGATTAAAGTAAATGAATCAAAACAAAAGGATAATAGAAGTATACGATTGATTAAAAAATCTCTATGGATACCTTCAAAGAATTTTGCAATTTATAATACTTTTGTAGAAGACACGACAACTCAAGCACCAGTATATACTTCAGAATATCCAGGCGTATCCGTAGGTATGCAGGCTCTTAAATTAGATATTAATTTTTAAAAGAAAACAAACAAACAAAATAAAAGCTGGTGAATTATTTACGAAAAATACTCTAATTTGAATAATATTGCGGCGGAAGTACTTGTGAATGAGGTTACAGTTTGAAATTAACAAATAAATCACGCTGAATCCATGAATTATAGGAAAATATATAATTTTGACATCTTCTCTTAATATGTTACCATTAGGTTACTCAAATGTGTATATCCAACATGGAATGTATGGAAGAGTATACATTGATGGTACTGAGGTTTGTGCTGATGACATAACATACCAGACACGTGAAACCTTTTGTCTGTCAAAAGGATATGGTTACTACTCTTATAACAGGTGAATTTAAACACTGATTTGAAGTGGATATTTAAAGGATATAGGGTGGATATTTGTTTTCATCGTTTACTACACTTCCGGTTGCCAAACATTAAATTATGTGATAACATGTACACAATCTATGTAATAATGTTTCCGTAACATTTTATACAGTTACAATGCAAACCAGCACTACCGGACCATTGAAGTCAACTGCTCAAATGCATACTTAAAAAGCTGTTCTGCAGAATATAGACCCCGATACTGCTCAAGGACCTTGTACCTAACCTGTGGTCATGGTAAATACTGATTTGATCTTTTAAGCAAATGCTGCATGTGTGTATAATTTTACAAAAATGTTATATTAAACGTTAGACTATTTTCAGGTCACGAAAATGATGAGTATACACTATTTTGATCAGTTGAACTGGAGTGTTTAACAACTTGAACTCTGCTTTAATTCATATGTCGTCTTAGCATTATGGATAAGGAAACGTACTACAGTGAAATCACTAATTTTCGAAGGATTTAGATTTTCGTTTTCGAGATATGATGAGACCCACGAAATTATGTCTTCCACGAATGTAAAATGTCATATACATAACTACCAAACAATTTTTAATCCACGAAATTAAATCCCCACAAACCCATATTATTTCTTCAAACCAAGAAAATTTGACCCCACGAACCCAAATTATTTCCTCAAACCACGAAAATTTTACCCCACAAAAGTTATTTTACTGTATTTCGAGAACGGAATGCAGATCGATTGCAATTGTTGCACCCTACTTTTTGGGCCACGTTATTTAAGTACTTTTATTTGGAAAATGCCTAATAGATGAATTCTATGCAATCGTATTTGAAAATGAGTATAATAAATTTAAATCTACTAAAGAGAATACACTGATTACTAAAAAAAATACAATTGGAAGATACTTGAAACATCCCTGTATCTGCGGTCGGCGGATCAGGAATTATATCTGCAATGCAAGAAAAAGTCCCTGAAAGACACCTTTCAGTGACTTTTCAGTAACTTTTCAATGATCTTTTAATTGTGATTCAGTTATCATTCAACTACTATTCAGTTGTACGAGTAATTTCATCCCTTGAAAGCGCTGCATTTCCAATAACTTTGAAGTTTATGTAGCTACAAACAATTATAAAATATTGAAAAGAATATCAACAGGTATATGATTAATTTCATATTAAATAGAAGTGCTTATACAGGTATTTACACAAATTTAAAACAAAATGATATGTTTCTGTTGAAACATAAACTTAACAACTGCAATGAATGAGAAAGAAATTCTAATTTTGCGTTGTAGTTATAACACGACTCCATGTTGTATTTTTTTTTATTTCATAAAGCCTCTACAGAAAGATATTACACAAAATGGCTTGAAACAACAACAGATTCTTCAATCGGTATTTTCTCTATCTCTCATTATATTTCTGCCTGTTTATCTCTCTGTCTGTTCCTCTTCTCCCCATCTCTCTACATCCAAGCTTTTTTTTTATTATATCAATTTAGCATTAAATTGTTCTTTAAAGAAAACGGATATCATAAAATAATGTACTATTGATGCTGTTGTTCTTTGCTTTTATACATGTTACATGTTAAGTAAAATGTTTGATACAAGGTTATTCTAAGGTATGTGACGTTTGACACCTAAAATAAAAATAAAAAACATATTCAAAATCTTCTCAAAACCAATCAACTAGATCACTTATTTATTTGAAAGCATTTGAGGATCATGTAACAGAATTAGACTTAAGTTGATTTTTTTTTTATCAATTGCATCGAAAACTTTTATTAATTGATGAATGAATCTCTTAAATTACAGATAACAAATCTTTGGTGAATAAATATTGACAAATATCTTAATTTTGTTTGCTTGACTTAATCACAATGAAAGTATGACATGAATGTTTCAATTGACTAATTGTGATTATATAGGGAAAAAAGAAAGAAAAAAAGAAAGAAAGACCATCAATAGAAAATCTATATTGAATCATATTTTTTAGAGTAAAATAAGTTGATAAGATCTAAAAAAAAAAACTTAATTGGATCAGGAATTTATACAAAATTATAGACAGAGAGTAGAAGACAGTTATTGGAGAAAAAAAATATTTAATATATATTTTTTATAGACTCTGTGGATGTACGAATCGAGTATGGAACCAATGGTCGAGTTTACATAAAAGGACACGAAGTTTGCACTTCAACATATAATTATCGGTCAGGAGAGGCACTATGCCGTTCCAAAGGATATTTTTACAGTACATATACAAGGTGAACGTAATGGAATTTTATTTACAATATAAACATATTTTGCTTAAAATTATTTATTAATATCTTATTCTTGTATACCCCCGGTATGTAATTAATTTTACTTGAGCTTTCAAATTTAATTTTGTTAGTTTTTTCCTGATAAAATCAGTTTATCTAAAAGAGAGAGGAAAATCTATTAAAATATTCTATTATGGAAAGTAATACAAAAATATTATTTTACAGTACATCTGCTCGGAACCATTACAACACTTATGAAATAAGCTGTTCCTCTGGTTATTTGCCTAACTGCAGCAAGGGATTCCGATACAATTACTGTTCAAGTGTGATTTACATTTATTGTCACGGTAAATGCTCAAAATATTACTTAAAAATGTTAATTATAAAATTTGTAAATCTTATCTTTAATGATAAACACTGTCCATATTTTCGTACACACACACCCTCCCCCCCCCTCTTTCTCTCTCTCTCTCTCACTCTCTCTCTCTCACCAAAAAAAAATTGTAAGAAATTTTTCAAAACATTAATTTCTTCATTTTGGCTATATACGAGGGTCATTCAAAAAGTTCGTAGACTTTTGTCATAACTTTTTTAATTCACGTCATATTATAACCAAATTTAGTACACATATTTTAATAACAAATTTAAATAATTTGAGCAAAAAAAATGGAAAATATCATGATGATTATCAAAATTATCAAGGATATAACACATTAAAAATAGGGTCACGGAGCAGGGTCAAAATTGAGTTATTTTCTAATTATACACTTAATGATGTCTAGAGTCATAACTCTAATAAATGGCGCTTAAACGAAATAAAATTGAAATTTTTAAATTTAGTATTGTTCTATTACTTCAGATTCTAAAATTTAATGTAATATATTGCTTCGTTTAAAAGATATTAATTTTTAAAGGCAAATCGACTTTATGAAAAAAAGCAAAAAAAGATGACGTCGACGGACGTCACGGAGCAGCGAGCAGCGATCAAATTTTGTTTTACATTCTGGAAACCTTCAAAACATACTCCGAGAATGCTTGATGAACCAGGAAATAGATACAAAATGTGCTCTGCCTTTGTTTATAATGGAAATGGCTTTTTTTGAGTATAAGAGACTTTAAATCGGACCATGAACGGTCTGTAAAGAAACAAATGATAGTAAAAAATCTTGTCAAAGAGTTAGTAAAGTAATGAAACGTGATGAGCAATTAACTTTTGCGGAATTTGTGCAAACAAAAGTTACGCGATAAATAATTTGAAAACATTGGGAATCTACCTTAAGGTACTCAAACAATTGTTAGCGAACCAGGTGTCAAGGGCTATGGATACGATTTGATGAATTGGGAAGAAGCTACAACCCGTGTATGAAATAAAAGGGCTGAGTAATTTTGAGAAACTTCCTCGACGTTGTTTTTGACGTCACCGTGTTGTTAACCGTGCTCCGTGGTTACAAAACATGTTGCTTTTAAAATTGTCTAACATGAGTTCCATTTAATCAAATGGAATTAAACTTTACACACTGACAAAATAAATGTTTTTACATATAAAAATGTGTTCATCTTATATTTTGTAAGAATAATATGAAAAACTTAAATTATGCCGTTAAAACTAGATTACATAAATAAGAAATACATGTACAACTTATTTTGAAATTTAGCTCGTTAAGCTTGTTTACTTTCTTTCGATGAAAGGTTCAAACAGGTTGAGGGATATTTGAATTCATATTCGATAAAAATAATTCTTATTGCACACACAAGAACTCTAAAGTTGACATCAAAAAGATTCTTGAGTTTCTGACAACATCCGTGTGGTTTTTGGAAACCAGGTATTCCAACAATTAATGAGAATCATCATGAGTACCAACTGCAGCCCGATATTAGCAGATCTGGTTCCAAGACCTTAAACTGATAATAGACTTAAGTCAAAAGTTCAATTATTATTAAACGAACATACCTTAACACTTTCAAGTTTGTGAGATATTTGAATACAAAAATACCTTGTAAACTTTATTTCATGATGAAATTCATTTTAAAAGTTACATTGACTGGAAACTTTGACCTAAGTCTATGCTCAGTTGATGGTCTTGGGGCCTGGTTTTATATTCATAATTGTCCAAAATTTTATACACAAAAAGGGGGATAACACTTCTTGTGGCTTTCAACTTGACACTTAGATACATCGACGATGTATTGTCAATTAACAACGGTAATTTCCATTCTTATGTCGATACGATATATCCCACCGAGCTTGAGATAAAAAATATTACAGATTCTGACACATCTGTTTCATATTTGGATATTTTACTTGAAAAAAAAAAACGTTATTGTAATCTAACAACTAAGCTGTATGATAAATGTGACGACTTTAACTTTACAGTCGTCAACTTCTCTTACTTATGCAGCAATATACGTTCATCAACTGCATACGGAGTGTATATATCTCAGTTGATTCGATGCGCAAGAACATGCTCAAAGTATGAACAATTTCTAAATCGAGGTAAATTATTAACAAACAAGTTAATGAAACAAGAATATCAGCAGTCTCGTTTGAAGTCATCATCTTGTAAGTTCTATGGTTACATTATACAATGACCTTGTCAGCAAATACAATTTGTCATTGAGTCAAATGCCGACTGACGTTTTCCATACTGGTCCATTATTTACATACTGGATTGACGACAAATTTTTCTGTTATTTCCTGATCGTGTCAAGGTGCACGGAGCGGGTGTGAACGGTCGGTAGGGGATGCTTACTCCTCCATGGCTCCTGATCCAACCTCTTATGTTGTGGTGGTCCGTCTTTGCTCTGCTTCTACTTAGTATTGTTTAATAGATTTTTGTTCTTGAATACTGCTCCTTATCTCCATATGTTTCATTCTATAGTCGAAACAATGACGTTAATAGCAAATAAAATTAATCATTTAGTCAAATGATAACTTACATATGTAAGTTTTTCATACTAATTGTTACACCATTATTTACACACTGAACGGATTTCTCGTAATTTCCTAATATTGACAAAGAGCACACGGCGGGTTTGACCGGTCGGCAGGGGATGTTCACTCCTCCATGGCACCTGTATGCTCCGATCCTATTTTGTATTGTTTATGGACTTTTGAGCTTGGATACTGTTCGTCATCTCCATATATATCAGAATTCTCCAGACTACATAAACATAATTTCTCCTAAATTATACAAGTCATATACCGTATAAGTAGAATTTTTAGCGAGGATTCAATTTTGGCATTTTTAGCGATGGTGCCGAGATCGCTAAAATTGAATATCGCTAAAAATTAATTACGTTTTCTTTGTAATAGCTTCTTTAATATCCATTTTAAAATTGCTAAAATAACATCTCGCTAAAAATAAATTACCAGTTTTCAGGACAAATCGCTAAATTTGCGTCTCGCTAAAATTTCCACGTATACGGTATTCGAGTTCCAAAGAAATTTTATATCAATCGATTGTTCAACGAATCACTAATGGCTTCCATTTTATCATATAGAATATCTACAGAGTAATTTAGAAGTAGAAAATGTGCCTTGAGCAAAAATGAAATTGTCTCGGTATTTCCTACTCTACCTCTCCCATGGAACAGTACGAGGGAATAGAAAGTGGGACTTTATTCACAAACATCAAGAAATGCAACCAAAGATGTCAAACCATTATATGATTTCATTGACATTAAATAACGTGTATTTGTTGTTTGACCAGAGTTGATGATGAACAAGCAAATTCAAAGATTTGTGGTCCTCGGCCTCGGCTTTTGGGGACAAAAGTGGGAGATAATAAATAGTCTTTGAATAATCATACATGTACAAATATTGTAATCTCTGAGTGCATTATCTTCCCTCTTTCAATACCTTTCGATTATCAGTTTCATTATTTTTTATGCAGAGGCCACGACATCAACACAACAAACAACTATGGAATATTCAGGTGTTTCAATAGGTAGGAAGTATTGTTATTTTTTCTTGAACATGTTGAATATGATGTAATTTATAAAGAAATATATTGAATGAAAAACATCACTAATTTGAATGTATGAATTAAAATGGAATTCTTCAATTTGATGAAGTATACTTCTAGAATATCAACTATCGGATTTTTAATCAATTCCTGACTTGAGTTCATGCAATGGATATTAATTTTGTCATAATTTTATTGTTAACCGTAAGGTTACTCCAGTGTGTACATGGAACACGGAAAGTATGGTAGAGTGTATGTTAATGGTTTTGAGGTTTGTGCTGATGGAGTAACTAACCAGACATATGAAGCACTTTGTCAGTCAAAGGGATACCACTTCTACTCATATAACAGGTAAGCCCCAATGATATACCGGGTATTCTTTGGAAACAGATATGTTTGTGAAACACTGATGCCCTCATGTGGCAGCTAATATATCTAGGACTGAAATTTTTTTCAAATGCACTTGAAACTCCAAAGGGCAAGGTCAAAAAGTCAAAAGTGTTGGTACCAAAATGAAGGTCTTCACAGAAAAAACTTGTGAAATATAAAAGCCTTAGTACTGACTGTTCAAAGCAGACATTAAAAAAGCCGGAGGAACCTGGCAAAAGTCGTTGTCTAAGAATATGGGGGGCATAAAAAGTTTCTCATTACCTTCTCTTATAATGTAAAATGGGGTATATTTGGTACAATTATCCCCCACCCCCGTTTTTTCTATGGTACTTTAAACATGATAAATACATGAAAGTGTAATAAAATAATAAGAATAATTAAAAAAAAATATTCAACATGTCTCAGGTTCTGAAAAAGATGGCTATTCTGTCTATAACACTATGAATAATAATAATAATTGTATGAATAATTGTTATTTAACATTACGTGAACATAGTTTTCTATGTAAAACATTACACGGGAACACTTGGATCTTTATTTTAAATTTAATGTGTTTAAAAATGTTTTTAAAAGGTCTAGCCTTCACATGTCAAACTCATTTGCGATATAGTGTTTATTGATATCAAATTTAAGTCAATTAAAACATAACAATGTTTTCAAACTTATTTCAAGACATTTCATAATATTGACCCTATCTAACAAGCCGATCATTCTTTTAAATTTAATTTTTGTTTTCAATCATCTGCAATGATTATATCTTTGTCTATATATTACCATGTCTGTTCGTCGGTAACATTTTTATTGCCTAATTATATATTTACGGGTATTCTAATGATCTCGATATATTTATATATTTTTTAAAATCCGACTTATTTAAAGTTCGTCAAGTTTTCATTACTCTGTCTGCATACATGTAAAACTTAAGCGATCATCAAATATAGTGTTTTCCGTGTGTTCCCGTCATCAAACATGACGCATATTTCCAAAACCAAACTATTTAAAAATGTTTCCGTTTTTCTCATTTTACAGTTCTTATGCAAATAATCCCTACCGGACACTGGACATTAATTGCTCAGATACACACATAGACAGCTGTTCCGCAGAATACAGATCCCAATACTGTTGGAATGCCTTGTACCTGGACTGTGATTCTCTTGGTAAAGTAGATTATATTTTTTCTCTACATGTACATAAAGATTTTTGACTATATAAAAATATGGTCACACATTTTCAAAAGCAAGTCAAGCTTCTGCCTACAAAGGAGTATGACACAAATCATCATTTCGCAAGTTCTCTTGTCAATACAACCTCAGCAAAAACAATATTATCATTGATTCGAGGGATTACTGACGTTTCACAAAATCAAATTCTAAGCCATTATATAAGCACTGACTTGTGCAGTGATATTTCTGTTTTACCTTAAATAAGTAGCACATGGCGAGTGATACGGGGTGTGCTTGCTTCTCTGTGGTAATACCCCCACCTCTGATATTTAAACTACCATATTTTTTGTTGTTTTTCCAGTGCACTTTTGAATTTGTTGTTTTGTCTTAAAAAATGTTTTCTTCAAAATCCAGAACAAGAAGACCTGATATTAAAAAAAATGTTTCTTAAAATAATATTAAACCATTCAGATTTGATCTTTATGTTTGAAATGGAACATAGGGCGATCACCAAATTACTGAAGTATAGTCATGACCATTACATACAAAAACAGAGTTTATAGCTTTACATATGTTATGCAAAAAATATATTCTATACAATATGCTTATATTTGAAGAAATCCCATCGGAAAACAATTTATACATAAACAGTATGTTTTTGGTATTTTTGGTATTTATTCTTAATGCAGATTTGTGTAACAATGTGAAATAAGATACCTGAAAAGGATCCAACTGCTACATTGTCACCTGTTATAGAATAACTGGGCACCATATAAGAGTTAGAGAAGTAAAAACCTGATATTAATACTTCGTCAATAAACTTTTAATATCTATTCTTTGTTGTCAGGTACATGTAATTGAAAGTTTTACTAGGTCATTTTTATTTACCACAAAGTGAAGGTTTGAGCAAACATTATCCATCTTTAATATGATATATGGTCTAGTCTCATTTTGAATCACCTTACATAAGACAATATCAACAAGTTTATTTAAATGCCCAGATTAGAATTATTCAAAATTTGACGATAATTTTGACGATATTAAGAAGAATTATTTGTCATCCTTTAAACTTTACAAGGTTTTTGATGCACATTTTGTACTAAGTATTATAAATTTCAGGAATAAGACTTATGGGAACTGGGTATCCATGGGAGGGTACTATAGAGATCCTTCATAACGGCCAGTGGGGAACCATATGTGACGACAGCTTTGATAAACAAGATGGTGACGTCATTTGTAGGATGTTGGGGTATTCTCACTCAAGGTAAAATTGAATAAATATCGAATGAAATTGAAATTTCATTTATTGCGTGTTGGTTATTCTTCTGATTTTATTTGTATTGAATTTTTATTTGATTGAAAGAATTTCAAGATTTTCAAGGAAGAGGCCATATACTGAGAACAGACTTAAGTGAAAATATAAGTCTCAATATGCACACCTTTATAAGATATATTTTTCTCCAATTACAAAAAGAAGTTTCTGTTAGTGTTTAGAGCTTCCTTAAATCTCTTAAACCTAAATATATAAGAAATAAAGCAAATGTACTTTGAATATTTCATCTCGTCAGAAACCAGAAAAGAATCCTAACCTAATGGTATTGGACCAGATTTTCATGTTCTTATTTGAAGAAATGGTGACAAATTTCAGTTTTAACGTATCATTATAAATCATAATTATTTATATTCAGATACACTTACCAGAGTGCCCGTTATGGACAAGGAAGCGGCCCAATATGGTTGGATAACTTAGATTGCAATGGATATGAGAGTGACGTAGCTTACTGTAGTTCCAATGGTTGGGGAAGGCATAATTGTGGGCACTCGGAGGATGCAGGAGTTTACTGTAGTAAGTACAGATTAAATCTGTAGAAATTCAGTAGAAAGAATTCATAAATATGCATTAGGATATTAAATTTAAAACTTTTTGGTTGTTCTTTAAAGTAGTGTTAATATTGAGTTTGATACTTTTTTATATTGTCGCAAGATATTATGTATAAAAGCATACCAAATGGAAACTGGAGCATGATTTTTTATTTTTATTTTTTTGTATTTTGCGGAACAGCTAATTCCACGGAATACGAAACTACCCCATACGACCCTTGTAGTAGACATCAATGCTACAACGGTGGAACGTGTTTTGTACGAAACAACGGTTATCCTGAGTACTACTGTATTTGTCCAAACGGATACACCGGGTCAAACTGTAAGACTTCTGAAATACTAATTTATCGCTGTGTGACAATTGATTATGGATTTGATCCGACAAAAATTCATTTGATACTATATCCAGTGTCAATATTTATTGAGAACATTTTAAACTTACTCTTGCATCTTGAATATGCCTGAAACTCATTGTCTAAAGTAGAGAGGTTAAGGTGGAAAAAAAATGAATTCACACATATTTTGAAAGGCTACTACGAGGCAACGACTTTTGATCCTTGCTATGGATATCCATGCCGTCATGGTGGTACGTGTTATCGCAACTATGGTTACCCAGGATACTACTGCACATGTGCAAATGGATATACCGGTCAACACTGTGATACCTCTGTCGGTCAGTAAGAAAAAGTTCGCAATCAATGTCCTTCTCTATTAAACATCCAAATATAAAAGTAGTGTGTCAGACTCTTTTGCAACCTAATATTCGATTTTCTTTATATAAATATGTTGTTTTGACACATGCATATAATTGATAATTTACAAAAATTCATCAAAATATTTTATTGAATTGAAGGACAATGCAAGCAACTTGTTTTTAAGTTGAATTTTTAGAAATTAAAAGAAATTATACTAAAAGCAATATTAGTACTACAACGTGATCGTTTGCCTTTAAAGGGGAACCATTTGATATCCATTCAATTTTAATTCTAACATAATTTTGGAAGATATGCTCTCCAAAAGCTAAATAAATTTGGCTACTGAGGAACTCGAACATCCTTTAGATATTCATTGTTTATATTAAATATTGTTTTTCTAAGGAAATGATTTCTTGGGGTTTCTCTTTCAATATTAAAAATATAAATCGGAAGTTTTAATAAAACATGCGAGTAAAGAGTTATATATCAAGATTAATTTTTTCACTTTAAATAATTCAGGTTTTTCAGCAGAAAACTCAATCTCTGTTGGATGTACGGATAATATCTGGGACCTTTCCGTTTACCTGCCTCCTCTTTACAACAGGTACCCCGACTTCAACCCCAGTGACATTTATTTAGGAACTGATAGCTGCACTGGTTATGTTAATGGAAATTACCTGCACTTCCGGTCCGATTATTCAGCCTGCAGCACGGTCACAAGTGTGAGTTATTCAATAAAACATGCACCTGTATTGAAAGCAAAAGCGTATGCTTACATGTAATTTGCTTTTAATTTGAAAAAATGGATTATTGAAATTGAAATGCATAATATCGTATATATTTTTTTTTCATTTTAGACGCAAACCAATTATGTCGTATATACCAACGAATTAGTATACGCCCTTCACGATCCAAACCATCATTTCATCATACATGAATATCGATTCCGTGTTCCTGTGGATTGCTATTTGAAACGAAACGAAGGAGGATCTGGTCATTTTAATCATGGTCATGACGTCACAATTCCTTCAGCTCATCACGTGACAGGATCGACGCATCATAGTGTTCATTTACAGTTTTATACTGATTCGACATTCAGATACACAAAACCTTTATATGGATCCAAAGTAGGCGATAGGGTGTACGTTAAGGCGTATACTGATGTAAGAGACTACAATCTTAAAATGAGAATTTCCGATTGCTTTACAACGCCTACTTCATCCGCATTCTCCAGTATGAAATATTTCATCATTCAAAACGGGTAGGCTCAAATATTGACATTTTAATCTCCATAGAATCCAAAATTATTCTTCATAAGTAAAGTTATTCACTTATTTATCAATTTAATTTGTTTATCTTTAGCATATTGACTGAATTATGTAATAATTTTTAGATGTGTAATTGATCCTAATGCCAGAATCCTTTCACAAACAACACACGAAACAAGGTTTTATTTCCAAGATTTCGAATACTCCACCAATCATTACTCTCTGTATCTTCACTGCAATGCTACGTTTTGTAAATCAAATGACTATAGTGATTCATGTGAGCAAGCTTGTAGTCATCCTAGGAAAAGAGTTGGAGGAGGTGACATTGTACATAATGGTCCAGTGGAGTCCATGGCGGTCAATAAAGCTGTCAGATTAACAAAAGGTATAAAGTCTTGAATTCAAAGACATATACGATCATCACGAAATTTACGTTATCACATGTCACGCGCTGGTTCAACACAACAGTAATTACAAAATTTTAAGTTGTTGCATGTAATAATGATGCAATATTCAGCTCGATGCCACGTTATAAAATGGGTGGCATAAATCATTGTCTCAATAAAAGCGATGATAAGTATTTTCCAGTATCTTTAAAAAATAATTTTAAAAAAATGAAAACCGATAGCGCTATTATCCCTATTTTTCGTCATGAAAGTAATTATCATTTATTAATTCAACATGTTTTTTTTAATTTACCAAGTTACAATGTAAATATTAATGGCTCTGCCAATTACAGCTGATGACGTTGGCAGTTCAGGCAGGAGAGGAAGTTCCACTGTGATAGCAGTTCTCTCTGTTATATTTGGAACAATCCTGATAGCCCTAGTCACCTTCATGGTTCTAGGGAAGATAAAGAGAATCAGACAAAAGAAAACACAGGTTGTTTAGAATAAAACGATGCAGGGATTGCAGCATTACAGAGTGATCATTCGTCTTAGATACTTTGAATACCTTTCTTCTACTAAATATGTAATTTATATTCGAAAATACACGATTTCTTTCAACAGGATTGTATTAAGTGCCAAGAATTCAATTTTTTGTATAAAATTCCTTGCAATTAAACTCTTTGTATTTCAAAGTGATGTTGCGGACTAAATAAATCCAACTTTTGAATGGTATTTAATCAGTCCTTTCATACTTGATTAATTGTTATTTGCAATATTACAATGTGGGAATTGTATACATGTATATAACTTTTGCAATTATCTTGATAATTGTCTTTAAAAAAATCGAAATTAATGAAGTTGTTATAAAATTTGTTTCTCACTTACAAATCAGAACTATACATTCTTTTTTTTTTACATCAAAAATTTATTATATTCAGGTTCAATTTTTATTTTACATAATATTGTAAAAATATGTTAAGTTTCGGTCGCATATGGTATAATTTGTTTAATTTTTTACTTATTAGAAGTTAAAAAAACTTTAAACAAGAAAGACAATTTGATGTTTACAAATGGTATTTTGTCGTTTCCTTTAAATATCATAAAGTCACATTTTACAGCAGAGGCTTTCAATAGATCATCTGCAAATACTGTATACAGAGCTATATTGTCCCCGTGTAATTTTCGGCATTTTACACTTGCTTACAATTTTGCGTAGTTTTGAATTCGCTCAGTTACAATACTGTAAAAGAATTTGTGCTGTGTTCTTTGAAATCCCCCCTTTTTAAATTTGTGTAATAGTGACAAGGACAAAAGGGGACAAAAATAAAACGGGGTAAAAATTTCTCTTCAAACATATCTATGGTGTTTATCGAGACCAGGTCTTCCAACAATCTACTGGAATTCCCATGGGTACCAAATGCACTCTGTTATTAGCAGACCTATATTTTTTGTCTTTATATGAAGCTGAATTTGTGCAAGATCTTATTTTTGAAAGGGAGAAATAAACAGGCTTTTTCCTTCAACTCGACATTTAAATATATCGACCACGTATTGTCAATTAACAATGGTAATTTCAATTGTTTGAAACATCTGTTTCATATTTTGATATTTTACTTGAAAAAGATGTTAATGGTGATCAAACAACCAAACCCTATGATAAAAGTGATGGCTGTAACTTTCTATCGTTATCTTTCTTTACTAATGCAGCAATATATACCTTCATCAACTGCATACGGACTTTGTATATATATATCAGTTGATTCGATACGCAAAAACATGCTCTATGTAAGAGAAATTTCTTATACGAGATAAATTATTGACAAACAATAAAACAAGCAATCTCGTTTAAAGTCATCATTTCGAAAGTTCTATGGTCGATAAACAATGACCTTGTAAGCAAATACAATTTATCGTTGAATTGAATGCTGACTGACGTTTTTCATACTAATTGTTAATCCATCATTAATACACTGCACTGACGACAGATTTTCCGTTATTTCTCGATCATGACAATGAGCACATGGTGGTCCAGAGGGGAAGCTCACTCTTCCATGGCACCTGATCCCACCTCTGATGTTTTGGAGGTATGTGTTTGCTCTGCTCCTATTTTGTATTGTTTCATGAATTTTTGTTTTTAAATACTGTTCATTATCTCCATGTTTTATACAGTATCACCTTTCTGCCATAAATACATATACTTTTTTATATAAATGCATGGAACCATCTATATGTAAGAATTAGAAACCAAACAAAACATATGCATTTCTACAGATAGTTTGAGAGACAGTTTTGTGATTTTTTAATATTGCATTAAATTATGAAAGTATAGCTATAACCAAACTGATATTTGTTCTTTAAAAATTACCCAGCAGGCACACAAAATTGAATAAAACTTTAAAATAAATGTTGATTACAGTGGCTGGAACGTTATTGTTGACAAACCAATCGCGTAGAATCGTTCGTGTATCGTGCGTGATCGTTCGTGCATCCTGCGAGATCGTTCGTGTATCAGACTCAATCGTGTGCGTTTTTAATCGTGCGAGATCGTGCGTTAAGAATCGTGTAAATTTCGTTTTGTAAGTTTTTATCGGAATGTTATTTGTAAAATAAGCATTTCCCTTGTTTGTTTTCCTTTATTTATTCATTAAAATCCAAATAAGATGAATGAATCGCAATTTACATAATAGAATGCAGAACGAACTAATTATCGCCCGTAAACAAGCAATATAGTAAGTCGTACAATATTAAGTTCTCGTCAAATATCGCGATCAATATTGTGATAAACCTTACTTAGATCTTAAACGCCTTTTTGAAAAATCTGATTTTCATTATTATTTACCTCTTATTGTGGTTAAGATAATCTTGAAATAAATTCATCGAAAATAAATATTTTTTTTTACAAATAAATAAACATTTCTCAATACTTACATAACTAGTTAGTCGACGAATATACATGCACACGGCATGATTTTCGGGGGTTTTGATTATCTGTGTTGATCTCTTGAGCTTATTTTTAATAAATTAATTTCAAATTTCTGCAAATAAAAAAAGTTCAAAAATTGGCAAGTTTATTTTTAGAGATTCGCAGACATTGAATCAATTGAAACATTAGGATAAAATTTGTAATAAAAATTATTATAATTTAAGTCATTCCATGCTACCATTTTTGTTCAATCATATCCCTCTTCGTGCATATCATGAAATCCAATTCAATCAAATTATACGACCCGTACATCGTCTGATAGAACAAACAAAATCTGTTTTCTTAGATCGGAGAATTACTTTAGGAATAATTATTTATAATCTAAAATATTAAGTCTT